AAAAGTCTTTCTTGAACCAAAAACTCCTGTGGTCTTTTTTTTCTATCCCACTAGGAGTTTATTATCAAAAGTTATACTGCCTTTTTCTATGCCCCCCCCCCCCCCCCCTCCCACAATTAAGGCAGATTTTTCAGTGTCTTTATTTTTAGGACCGTCACCCACTTGATTATCGCCTTCACTAATGCCATTAATTTTTATGTCCAGTTTTTAAACCATTGTGACATAGAATGGATGGTGCACTTAGGCTTTGTACTTAGTCTATGAATGTAGACATTTTTGCAAGTTAGGCAAGAATCCATATTGTCACTCAGTCTGCCTTTCCTTTTTTTAATATCAATCTGTATATTTTATGACTGCTGTTATTTTAAATATGGGACCGCCTCCAGCCACTATAATTGGTTGAAAGGGCCATCAGTCCCTTTAAGAGAACAGTGGTGTGTATGTCCTGATGAAGCTCATGGTCACGTGGGCGAAACATGTTGACATAGGCAGTGTCAACAAGCTACTTTCCAAAAAGATTTGCTTGAAGGTTTTGTCTATTGAATGTTTGCACTTCAGCATAGGAAGGTGCACTCCCACACATTTTTGAAGACACTGATTTTCCAAAGGAACTGGCCTCCTCCTCCACTCCAGTATCCCCAGTTCACAGAAGAGGGATTGCAACTTATCTTGCCTCTTGTATGGCTCAGTAAGCTTCTGAAGGGGATATATGAGTTGCATATAAGTTCCAAAATTATGAGCAGTTACTTCTGGGCACAGAAGTCCAGTGATTGTTAGCATCCATATTTTTTTTCTTTTGCAACAACATGTTGTACTATCTTAGTTAAAGAATAGTCATAATTTCTAAGTCCATGGTCTTTAACCATGGATATGCCAGTCTATATACCTGTTGTCCTGGCTTGCCAGGTCAGAAAATATCGTCCAGTCAGCCCATTGTGAGCTAAAGCCTGGTAATAGTTTCCTTACATTTGCTCATAGCCTTAGTTTGTGTTAATAAAAAATAGTACATATTATTAAATCATTCATTTCTTCACAGCTAATACTTTGATAAATGTTTGCATAATCTAATACACTGCAGTGAAATTTGCTTTTTCAGAGTTTGTTATATATATATATATATAGCATTACTAACCATTGTAACTACTGAATTGCTTTACCATAATTTAGCAATGCATGTTCATCCACTTCCGTATGCCCAGTTTACTGCTACCAGATAGCAGGCTTATATGAATATTATAATTCTACAAGACATCTGTCAGTCATGCTGACATGCAGCTTCATCAGAAAACTGAAGAAGCACATGCTGATAAATATATCTACCTTTTGAATATTCAAAAGTCTGGAAATGGCAACAAAGGTTTGCTATCCAGTATTTAAAGCTACAATCCAGGTACCGTATATACAATATACAGTATATAATAGATTTTGAGATCAGGCTCTGTCATTTCTTGCATAGCAGCACACAGACTGTCAGAGCAGAGGCAACACTAGAAGTTAATCAGGCTCTGATACTGCACACATATGCTGACAGAAGGAGAGCAGAGTGAGTAGATATGATTATTACTGCTAGTATTTAGGAATCAGCAGGCTAAAGGTAGGTAGTTGACACCTACAATATTCCTTACTCTAACAAGTAAATTAATTTACCTGAAATTCTGGGGGAAAACTGAGAGCTTTTGGCCAAATGTTGCCATTTTAGTGAAATGCATTGGTTTTTAGAGTGAAAATGGCTTTAAATGGCTTCTATGTCCTTTCATCTGTTCTGAACCCATCCTTACAAAGAAAAATACAAAGAAAGTTAATGAAATAAAACTATCCCAAATACAATATACCAAAAAACCATACCCTGTAAATAATAAAATGTTGTTTTTTGTCTTTTTGTTTTACTTTAAGAAAAGCCCCTAATGAAAAAATAAGAGTTTTGCTGGTGTTGCTTTCCTTGTTGCACTGTCTGGCACATGTGTTTAACTCACAAAAATGTCAGGAGAGAATTGCAAATCAGTTGACACAATGAACAATTCACATATGCTGTATGTAACTGTTTAAATAGCTGTCTGCCTGGACTTTAGCATTAAAGTGTAGTTTAGCTGTGTAGACGTGCAGCATTTCCTATGATCATTAGTGATTTTTTAAATGCATTAAAAATTATTTTTGTGACTGTTAGCCAAGCCAAATGGGGAAAAAAAATCTAAACTTTTACTACTTGTTTATCATACACCTCCTCTATTGAATGAAGGAAAGGTTGTGACAGATCCTTAAAGTGTACTAATCTGCCCAAACCTGGCAGAGGATGGGCAAATGCCGCATTTCTTTCCCAGCATGATATCTTCCTACATGTACTACAGGTACTCTAAGACTACCACTTTGTGGAAAGCTATTAATTGAATCTATTAAAATAAACCATTCAACATTCTTGAAAGTCTTTCAATATTGTTTAAAGCTCCACTTTGGGAAGCAGAAATTACACTTTCAGTGGCGCCTCCCTGCACTTACCTTATTCCCTGCTACAGCAAGCTTCCATACTGTGTGGCCAATCCCCTGAAGCCTCTTTTCTCCAGCCAAGTCTCTCTCAGCCAGCAGTCCTGCATTGTAAATGAGGATGGCAAGAGCCCAGGGGCGGACTGACCATTTGGAAACTCGGCACTGCCCGAGGGCCCCGGGGTCAGTAGGGGGCCCCATGAGATGCCCCTGGTACCTTTTTCATGGGCTTTTTTTAGTTTGGCCAAGGACACAAGGGCCCCATGATCCCCTATTGCCCGGGGGCCCCATGAGTTGTCAGTGCGCCCCTGCAAGAGCTCATATACAACCGAGAGCATGAGAAAAAATTAGGAGAGATCTTGAAACCTGAAACTTATTCCTCTACCCCTAGACTTAACAAGCATATAATCACTGCAGTGTGGAGTGCCCCCACCACAAGGGTTTGTTTTTTTTTTTAATCCTGGACTTCAGCTTTAAACATTATCTGTATAAATTGATAAACAATTTTATTTGATTATAAATGTTTATTGGCATGTAAACTTAGTTTGTAGCAAAATGTTAATTAATATTGAATTGATGTTACTAGTAAATACGATCTAATTAAACACTGCATTTAAAAAAAACACTTTACACTATCTCAAGCATGAAATACACACATATATGTAATATCACCTTGCTCTGCGCTTGTTGAAAGATTTTACAGGTAGAAATCTGCAGTTATAAAAACAAATTCTGTGCGTATAGCTTAAAAAATGTTAAGTACAAAAAAAGACATGTTTCACACACTTATTTTACAAAAACTCACCCATTTGCTTACATATAGATATTGCACTACAGGAATTTACAAAAAAATTTGCACACAGTCCTGAAACAGTATTAATGGAAAGATAAAATATTTTTAATATAATCCATGAACTTCAGTAACTGCAGAAACTATTGCTTTGGAATGTGATGGTAGCTGGTCATGTTACTAGGTACCTAGGCATTTGTTCACATGACCTCTGTTAAAAGATAGGGTTATAGAGCGCATATTCCTGGACTTCACCTGTAGCTGGAGATCACTTGACCAAATGTTTTCTCCTACCCAATTATCTATTATAAGACATAGTACATAGGATGTCCTAAGCAAAACTAGAATCTCTTACAATGGCCATGACAAATGGTGAACTTGGGAACAAAAGAAAAAAAAAAAACTCCATCTGCAGCTACTAAAAGCTGAAATGTCACTTTGGTTACATTGACATTTTATTTACTTATTTAATTTTCATGCGCTTATGATTTCCTCTTGTAGCATTCTGAAATATTCAACATATGGCACACTTCTCTGAAAATAATGCTGCCAATAACTTATAAGCAACATTGCATCACATTTGCTTTTAGGAAGAGGGATGTAATGGAGTTGATTTACTAAAGGGAAATAGGCTGTTCACTTTGTGAGGAAATTTTCACTTGCAAAAGGGAATTTTCTCTTACTTTTGTGAATGTCTGAAAATTCACTTTCCAAAGAAAAATCTAGTATTTTGTACATAATTGAATGGTAGAAATCAGCAGAGTTTCATCTCATTCACTAAGCTCAGGGAAGATTTCCTTGCAAAGTGAAAATTCCTTTGCAAATTAACAGCCTATTTTCCTTTAGTAAATTAACTCCAGTATGTTTGTTTTTAAAAATATTGCATCTCACATTTATATAAATAACAAAGGAAAAAGTTATACCATGCCGTGTTAAAAATCAGTCCTCTCAAAGTATATTGTTATAGGTATAGGTAGGGCATGTGGGATTTTTGGGCTTTTAATATTTCTTAGGGAGTCTTGAAGGAGAATTTAAAGATCATGGCTAAGCATGCAGAACGCTGGAAGAAAAATGTATACATAGTCCTTTTTTACCTTGGCTTTCAGTAGGTTCTTGCTGGCAACAGTGAAGTCACTGGGTTTTTTTAGTGAATCCTGGGAAAATTAGGAATACCAAGTCTCCTGTAAAAATGCTCTATCACTGTGCAAGATCACTTTGCTGTGAGATTTGGGATGCTTAGAAGGTCAAATGGCTACCTGAATATGCCAGAAGCTGTGGTTTAAGATCAGTATCTATTACATTTTACATTTGTATTGCTTTCACTCTTTTATGTTTGGGACTGCAAGATATAGCGACCTTAAATTGCAATCTAAAGTCTGCTTTAATATAGTTTTTATGTTATTTAATGACTAAATAACAACAACGATGTTAGCTGAAAATGTGTGTGTGTGTAATACATATGTATATTTGTAAGTATACCACATCCCTAACTAACAGGCCCAGTCATTGTAAAATAAAACAATATTTGCTGACATACTTAAAACACCTTTAAAAATAAAATATATAAAAAATATGGCATAATACCATAACAAATATTTACATAATGCCAACACAGTCAATGTTTTGTTGATAGTTTACAACAAAGTTCAGTTTAAGAATTTGTGTTTGGAAATGTTCAATAATGGTGAAAAGTATTGCATCCACAGTCATAAATATAAAATTAACAGAAGGCTTATGGTCCTAGTATGCTCCGTGCATGCGGTGATTATCTGATTTTCCACGTGATCGCCGTTCCTGTTGCTGTACATATTTCCATTTGCTTGGAGAAGTTTTTTAGCTTTTTTCTTCTTTTATCAGTACACCATACTTTTTCACAATATTCCTCAACTTTTTGAAAATTGCTGTATCCAATGAGCTGCAAAAATTCTTTGTACCATGGCTTAGAGGTTTGAGAATACTGGACTGCACAGGACAAGGCATTTTTTGGATTACTGGCTCTTCATCTTCGTCTTTGTTAAACATTTCATCCACACGTTCTTCCTCCACAACCTCCAGACTCATTTTTCTGATTACATGAACAAAACTATGCTCAACAGTTTGGCAAAAATACACTCCAGCATCGGTTCTATGGAGCTTTAGAAACAGAAGCCCGTAATCTGTCAATATTACCCGTTCACCTGTTTTCACCTATGAAAGGAAAAGCATTATTAGTATTCTTGTTGAAAGCTAATTTTTTTGTACCTAAAATGGTAATATGGCATTTTTACTGTTGTTTTTCCTTTTGTTCAGGCACATACTATACTTCAAAATGTTTCACTGCATAAAAGTCTTTTTTTTTACAGTTCTGGCTAGACTGAGAAAGTGTAAAGGTTTTATTGTTGTATATGTCACCACTGGAAAGATTTACACTTTCTACATGTCTTATTAACCTTATGTTCAGCAAGAAAGAGACTGGAAATCCCATTTTTTTTTTTTTATAGGAACAAGGGGTGGGGAAAAAATCTTCCAATGGAGACACCTGTTCCAACAACTAACTAGGAGGGGATTTCCCCTAGCTTTGGAAAGATTTCCACCTCCTTTCATTTCTGTCTGTAGGACAGAAGTGAAAGTAGATCTTCCCCAAGAGACACAGACAAAAAAAAAGGACTGAGAAGGGTCTTAAACTCTTTAGCTTATATCCAAAATTAATAAATACAAAAGTTTGGTTTTACTTAAACTAGAACCAAAATACAATAAAAGTGGACATTAACTAAACCTCCTCCCCTAGCTAAAGTCCAATTTTTATTGTAGGTCGGCTCTTCAAAACATTTCTGCACTTTTAAATATATGTAATAGAGTTAAAAAAAAAGTGCAGAAACTTTCTGAAAAACCCCAGTATTTTGGTTTTAGACATTTTGTGGATGAATCCCACTCCATATTAATTTATAAACTACCTTTATAAGATTTTTTAGACCTGTTAGAATACTTTTTTATGTTCCAAAATATGTCCTTTCTTACTGTATAATACACTATTTTTTTACCTTTAAGTATTTGCATTTTCAAAGTCCTGATCTGCCTCTTGCAAGTCCAAGTACATTTTCACTTTTTGGAAGTGTAGGCAGTGTATACAGAACAACCTCATTTTCTAAGAGTTATTGCTGCCAAGATTTCTACATAGGACCATATATAGCACATAAATGATGCAGTAACTGCTTACAGTTCCCAGAAATGAAACTTGCATCCAGTAGACTGGGTAGCAGGGAGTATAGAGGTAAGTGTAATTTATACATTAAACTTGTTGTCATTGTTCTATTTGTGTGCGAGAAGCTCTTCTTTCAAGAAAGCAGAACCGAAGTGAGAAAAACATTGGTTTATTAAATCTTTGTAGGTGAACTGACAGATTGCATTTCCCTTAATATTAGGTCAGGTAATAAAATAAAACTTTTGTTTGAGATGCACTTTAAATACATAAAACATATATTACCTCCTCCTTCTTTGTTTCGTGTGCTTTCTGTACAAACCAGATGACCTTAGATTGCAATGAACGTGGCATGCATTCCAATAAGCTGGTGTTGTGCTCAACACCGTATACTGTATACTCTTCAGTCTTTCCTAAGGATTCTCCTACAAGAATAATGGGAAACAATGGTTATCCAGGTACCAAAGTTAAAAACACTGTGTATGTATGTAGTTACTTAAAGTGGTATTAAATCCAAAACCAAAAATGTTATATGTTGCTGCTTACCAATCATTCACTATGGTAGCTACATTAATTTTATTATTTTTTTTATTTCTCCCTTCTGTTTTCACCTTGTGATCTGGCCAGTAACGTACCTCCTGTATTAGAGTGCCCCCACTCGGATGAAGGAGCACAGGGGGCACTTTTGGACAGCAGCATTACAGCATTGTCAGTTTGGGAGGAAGGGACTATTGTACTAGCACATTTAAATACACTAATAAATTGAAGCCAAACTCCAGATAATACTTTAAAAACAGTTATAGCAAACAGTTTTTATTTTCCTTTAGGGGTAAAGGTTTTACATTAATTAATAAAATCTGATTATTGTATGCATCCTTGACAGCAGTAAATAGTTTCTCTCATTCCTGTAACTGCTATATCTGCAGGAGAGCTTCATCTTTTGAAAAACAACAGTCTTTCTGGCTGGATCAGGTGAAAATAAAATAAAAAAAAAAAGCCTAAAAAAATGCAGCCATTACACCTAAATGTAAGGTTATGCACTTTTGGGCTAAGAATATGCATGCATCATACATACTAGGAGGGGTACAACTGGGGGAATCAATGGTGGAGAAGGATCTGGGAGTTCTGGTAGATCACAAGCTTAAATAATGGCATGCAATGCCAAGCTGCAGTTTCTAAAGCAAGCAAAATCCTCTCTTGTATTAAAAGAGGTATAGACTTCAGAGAGAGAGATATCATATTACCCCTGTACAAATCATTAGTAAGAGCTCATCTGGAATATGCAGTTCAGTTTTGGACACCACCAATTCACAACAAAAACATTGGGGAACTGGAGAAAGTACAGAGAAGGGCAAACAAAACTTATAAGAGGCAGGGAGGAGCTCAGCTATGAGGAAAGATTAGAGAAACTGAATGTATTCTCTCTTGAGAAGAGGAGATTAAGGGGGATATGATCAAAATGTATAAATACATCAGTGGTTAAAAAAAATAAAAAATGATGTAGCGCTAAAACACCCAGTTATAGCGTCAGTACCTTAGGACATGCAAAATAATGTTGGAATCCTATATAAACATAATACATGTATGTGCGTGATGATACTAAAAAAAATAAAAAAATGGAAAACAGATGTGCAACCCCTACACACAGTGCACATATATAAATATAAAGTCCAGTGATCCTGTATCAATATTTTCACTCAGACAGAGTCCTTGGACTGTATGTGGGCCCGCACACCACCACGTGCAATCCGAAAACAGCTGAAGTGGCCTCTCACCTCCTCCCTGCGACCCCGCAGGGCCACAGAGCTTTATCAGATCCCCACTGAATCAAGGTATGCTTCCTCTTGAATGGATGGTTAGTATATCCCCAGTATACAGCTTCCACCTCTCCTGTAGTATCCTCCAAGGTAAGTCTGGTCTTCTGGGGAATTGAGAAGCATCACAGGCACCGTGTGCTCTGACATGGAGAAGATCCCATGCTGGCCCTATGGTGGCCGTGTGTTCAGGATGGAGACCGGGAACACTTTCCTCCTCTCAGCCATTTTAGATCGGCTTCCAGACGGTCCTGTGATTGTCGGTCTCCATCCTGAACACACGGCCACCATAGGGCCAGCATGGGATCTTCTCCATGTCAGAGCACACGGTGCCTGTGATGCTTCTCAATTCCCCAGAAGACCAGACTTACCTTGGAGGATACTACAGGAGAGGTGGAAGCTGTATACTGGGGATATACTAACCATCCATTCAAGAGGAAGCATACCTTGATTCAGTGGGGATCTGATAAAGCTCTGTGGCCCTGCGGGGTCGCAGGGAGGAGGTGAGAGGCCACTTCAGCTGTTTTCGGATTGCACGTGGTGGTGTGCGGGCCCACATACAGTCCAAGGACTCTGTCTGAGTGAAAATATTGATACAGGATCACTGGACTTTATATTTATATATGTGCACTGTGTGTAGGGGTTGCACATCTGTTTTCCATTTTTTATTTTTTTTAGTATCATCACGCACATACATGTATTATGTTTATATAGGATTCCAACATTATTTTGCATGTCCTAAGGTACTGACGCTATAACTGGGTGTTTTAGCGCTACATCATTTTTTATTTTTTTTGTACTGTTTTGATCTTGGGGTATTGGATCAGATGTCAGCAGCTTTACACGTATATCAATTGTATTTTACATAGGAGCGCAAGCAGACTCCAAATAACATCAGTGGTTGATATAGTGAACTCGGTGTAGAGCTATTCACCCTGAGGTCATCAAAGAGGACAAGGGGGCACTCTTTACATCTGGAAGAAAAGAGATTTAATCCCCAAACACGGAAAGGTTTCTTCACAGTGAGAGCTGTGAAAATGTGAAATGGACTCCCTCAAGAGCTGGTTCTGGCCAGCTCAGTGGATTGCTTCAAAAAAGGCCTGGATTCTTTCTTAGATACACAGAATATAACTGGATAATAACATTTATATGTAAAGTTGATCCAGGGAATATCCGATTGCCTCTCGGGGGATCAGGAAGGAATTTTTTTTTTCCCTGCAGAAGCAAATTGGATCATGCTTTGCTGGTTTTTTTTTGCCTTCCTATGGTTTAACTGTGGGTATAGGATTATAACTTTTTTTTTTTTTTAATGGTTGAACTGGATGGACTTTTGTCTTTTATCAGCCAGACTAACTATGTGTCTAAGAAATGGTAATCTACAGTATAATAAATGCTTCCTTTTGGGTTTAATACCACATCAAGCAATATGAGTTTTTTATATTCTAAGTGATGTTTTCCAAACAATAATGTGCAATCATCACAACATTTTCTGTGCACACTTTCTTCCTGTAAACGTATTGCCAATTCTTTGTACTTGAAAGCACACAGGCCCACCAGAAGCTTACTTCTTGATGTGTCTTGAATCCAAAGAGCTTAATCATAGGGGTCCCTATGGTTAAGCCCTTAGGTGAAATATGCCAATGAGTGAGGTCCTGGTGGGGCCATGTACTTTAAAGTCTAGAATTCTGCCCTCTCCAAAATTGTCACTAGAGGATTTGGAGCCTATGGATGAGACCCTTGCTTTGCATGTTAAAGGGACAATAGAATATGTGCAAGTAGTAAAGGAAGGATAAGGAAATTAAAGAAATGCTGCATTCAAAATCAAGTTAGCATTGACAGCCATATTTCTATACTGGCTGGTTCTTTTAAATTAACATGCATCCTTTATTTGTCTACCACTGAAAACCAGCCCTATTGGTATATTCTCACAAAAAGGTCCTGCATGTAAATCCTGAACTTTGTTGAGTATCATGCACAGTAAAAAAATGAATTATATTAATTGGCAATTGTTTAACACATGTATATATTGTACCTGTTGCCTGTTTTATATCAATGGATCTGAATATATGGTAAAGAAGGAACTGTAAGTCTGTGTGAATGATTTTTGTCACCTAAGTTTTGAATCTGCTTATAAACATTAACAGCTAAACTGCTGTTTTCATCAATCATACATTTTAGAATATTTATACATATTTAAAGTTATAGCTTGATATTTATAATGCAATCCAAATAAATTTCCCCTAATTATTTCTTTACATTTTTCCATGGGCATGGATGTGAAATCAGTATGCAACAGAACAATACATATGCACATTGTCCAAAACAGAGAATAGGCTCAACTGCTGGGCACCCTAGTCATAGGACATCCCCAGGATATCAGGTAACAAAAGCATAGTGATAGCAGCTGTCCAAAGTTAACCATTGACAGAGATTGCATACCGCTTACAAATATGGGTAGAAGAGAAAATATTTTCCATTTTCCTATTTTGTGTTTCTTAGGGTAGATTTGTTTCTTGTAATATATAAATACTTCCCCTCTGTATCCAAAAAAAGACCTTCTGCTATCTAATTATCCTTTAAATGGAAATGCAATAAAACATGTATTTTCCCCACTGGTCTTCCGTTCTAGCATGTACACATGCAGTGGTAACTGATAAACTCTGAGCTGACAACTTCATATATCTATACATTGCTGGTATGAGGTCTTTTTTTAAGAGGACAAGGAGAGCCAGTGTAATTGTGTGGGAAAAAAAGATTATTTTACTTCCATGTGTGCAAATAACAATGCCAAGGTATCAGGGCTAGTCTTAATCATTTATGGTTTTTTAAAAGCAGAATATACTGTCAATGAAAACACTTTCTTAGTGTGGAGTTTCACAAAAAGACCCAATATGATGTGACCTACAAATGTAAGAATATTTATACTGTATGCATATTCACTTACCAATAAATTGTTGCCCTGAACATTGCTGAGCTGCATTGCCATGTCGAACATCCTGTCTTCTGAAACGTCTGGGAAAAGTATAAACTATTTATCAGCACATCATTAGAGTGTAAGCTGTATGTAAATACTTCATATAGGCGTATTAGCCTAAGTGCACCCTTAGTCCAGCTGGAATTGGCATGATTATAATTAATTCACATACTGGCATTGATCAACCAAAGACAAATAGGCTGATCACTTTGCAAGAGAAATTACACATTGCAGAGAAATTTGCTCAGAGCTTAGTGGAAGTGGTGATGTTTTGGAAAAAAAAAAAAATTATGTGCAAGGAAAATTAAAAAATTTAACTTTTGCAATTTACACACTATTAAATGATGAAAGTCATCAGAGCTTCACCTCATTCACTAAGCTCTGGCACAAAATCCCATGCAAAGTGCAACTTCACTCGCACAGTGAACAGCCTGTTTTTCTTTTTTAAATCAACCCCCCTAGATCAAATGCTTTAAATTGGAATCTTTATTAATAAGTAAATGCCAGGGTAGCTCCACTGGCTAAACAAGAGAAATCAGTAGATTCCCCCCCATCCATGCTGAACAGCATGGATGGAGCAATCTACTCTGCTGGCTATTACTGTATATACAAGCAGTCTTGAGACCCACGGCTGCCTGAATACCCGAACAGTCACTGCATCTGAGTTAGAAGGAATCAGCTGAAATTCAAGCCCTATATTGTTACCCAAGCCAATTCGGACACTTCTGTTCTACATAAGATATATAAAAATCTACATTTCTTTGCTACAAAATTACTTAGCACCCCCAGTCAGAGGCCCTATAGAATAAAATAGTGGGTTTTCCAATTTTTTTTTATCTCACACTGTATTTCCGCAGTGGTTTTTTTAAATGCAATGTTTTGGGGAAAATACACTTTCATTCATTTTATTGCACAGAAACACAACATAATACCTATTTTTTTTTTTTGTAAAATGTAAAAGATGATGTTACGCTGAGTAAATAGATACCAAGCATGTTACACTTTCAAATTGTGTATACTCGTGGAATGGCGCCAAACTACGATACTTAAAAATCTCCATAGGCAACGCTTCTAAATTGTTTGCAGGTTACCTGTTTAGAGTTACAGAGGAGGTCTGGTGCTAGAATGATTGCTCCCACTCTGATGTTGATGACGATACCTCACATGTGTGGTCTGATCACTGTTTACATATGGTTGCAATTCGCATTTGCTTACGGGGGGGGGGGGGGGTTGGTTGTGCTTTACATTTTTTTATACATTTTAATTATTTATTTTATCTTAAACTTTTTTCTTACACTATGTTAATTTTTTTTGTATTGGCTTTATTGCTATCACAAGGGATGAACAACATCCCTTTTGACAGCACGGGCCATGACAGGTCCTTTTTATGAAAAGATTTGGGGTCTATTAGACCCCAGATCTCTCCTCTTGCCTCCAATGCAGCCGATCAGACACAGATCGGTCTGATCAGCTGCTTACCTGTCCCCCAGGTAAACAGAGAGGCGGAACCGGAAGTGAAGATCCTTTATTGTGTATTCAACAGATCAAAAGGTATCAGATTAGATAATTTCATTGTTAGGATTTACATACACATTAAAAACTGTCTGCCCATCAGTCAGTTGCTGAACTGTGCTGCAGCAAAATAATTACAATTTATTGATTTAATTGTACATGTAACATTTTTTTATTTCTATACCATTTTTTAGGGTAAAAGTTCTACTTGGTAGTTGTACTCACCTTTTGGAATGTGTACCTAGGGGATAATACCTGGAGCAGGACATTCCATCCCATGCACAATATGGGTCACGAGCCAGACAGCAGTCCGCACATGCTGTGCCATACATCTCACAATGGTGGAGCTTTATTTGAGCTACATTAAATTTAGATCCAACATACAGTTGTTGCTGAAAATTTAAAATCAAGATACTAATAAATATTTCATTTACAAAATCAAGGTCAATTAAAAAAAATGAAGTCCTCATACATAAACCTGACTATTAAAGAACAGTCCCTTTAAAAATAATATTTTTTTTAAATTAAAGATTAAATATTTTAATTATCACTCTATGACTGTAATCATTTCAACAACGGTGGAGACTAATGCCTTCTTGACTGCTGATTGTAGGGAATGATCAAAAGCTATCCTAAAGCTAATATAATCATCCACCTAAATGTATTAAAATATTACACAGGTTTCTAGATTATTCATATAAATTAACCAAGATCTGAAATTGGGCCTTTAGGATAAAACAGGTAGGTTAAAGTTGTGTATTTCCCTCACCAAACCCCCAGAGCCTCCAAAACATATAATATTATATAAAATAGTATGGCAAATACACTCACCGACCACTTTATTAGACCTTGCTAGTACTGGGTTGGACCCCCTTTTACCTTCAGAACTGCCCTCTTCATGGCATAGAACAAGGTGTTTTAAACATTCCTCAGAAATGTTGATCCATATCGACATGAGTTACTGTTGCTTTTCTATCATCTAGTGCCACTCCGCCCATTTTCCTCTGACCTCTGACATCAACAAGGCATTTTCATCCACACAGCTGCCGCTCACTGGATATTTTCTCTTTTTTCAGACCAATCTCTCTAAATCTTAGAGAAGGTTGTGCGTGAAAATACCAGTAGATCAGCAGTTTTTGAAATACCCATGACCAGCTTGTCTGGCACCAACAACCATGCCACATTCAAAATCACTTAAATCCCCTTTCTTCCCCATTCTGATGCTCAGTGTTAACTTAAGCAAGTCGTCTTCTACCACGTCTACATGCCTAAATGCATTGAGTTGCTGCCATGTGTGTTACCAAGCAATTGAACAGGTGCACCTAATAAAGTGGCCGGTGAGTGTATATACCAATTAACAAAATAAAGTCACAGGTCCACTTGTTGTGATCAAGTTGCAACACTATATATTAAGACATATCAAATTATTATGTATTATGTGCAAATCTTGTCTGTATATAGAGGTATTGTTAAATGGCATTAAGGATGCCTAAATAACTCCACATAATGCAGTTGCAATATTGGCAATTGTTTATTGTAATTCCATAACTTGTAAAGTCAATTACTTAACAATTTAATGCATTGATCCAGCTGCTGATTCAATATAATAATACATTGCAAGAAAAAAATATATAATTGTATCATCCATATGCATAGTAGTATACAGTGAGCTTAACCATTCATAAACTGAATGAATCAGCAGATATATCACAAGTCTCAGGAATCCAATAGATACTGTATACTTCTCCTCCACTCCTCCTACCACTCCATCCCCCACAGCCACTTCCTCCTGTACCACTATGCCCTCCCTCCTAGATTGTAAACTCAAAAGAGCAGGGCCCTTGACCCCCTCGTGTTTTGTTTTGTTACTGTATTGTCTCATGTTCTGTCCCCCACTATAATGTATAGCGCTGAGCAAACCTTTTAGCGCTATATAAATACTGTATAATAATAATAATACTTAGTCACAGCATCTTGATTACAGTGGGCAAAGAAATAGCCAAACAGCTGTATTATGCATTTCAGCCAGCTAATTCAATAAACGTCAGTGCAGGTAGATGTATATGTAACATGAGTCCCAATAGGCTGATTATAAAGTGGTTATCTATATAACAACCCTTTGCATGACAATATGTTATTCTTAACCACCCATGGATTGAATGTGTCACCAACTGTATCACAACTCGCGCAAGCCAATATGTTCAAGCTCAACAGATTGATTGCAGAAAAAAAACTATACCCAAACAGTTGTATGGTACATTCTAGCATGCTAACTCAGCAAATAGAAACACAGGTAGACAAATTCTCCACTGTCAGTCACAATGCTTGAGCTGCACTGAATGATGCCTGCATGATACCCCACGTGACGTGGAGGAGTGTCACATGGGGTGGCTGGCTATGGAGGAGAAAGGAAGTTCACAGCTTCTTCACCAAGAATTCAGAGCACGCACAGACCAAGTGGCAATGCTGCAAATTGTAGATCACCTTCAATAGCATTGCCACTCTGAATAGGGAACTAGAAGGATCATCAGGTAATAGCAACCACAGCATATATTTTTGAAGAAAAACAGCAGCACACACAATCAGATGTTATACTTTTTATATCCTTCAAAAAAATATCAAATATTAGGTTTAATATCAATCAATATCAAGTAAATTGCAGCTCTACAAATGTGCAAGATTTGCATTCATCTTAAAATTACTTACATTAAAAAATTACATATTTCCAGTTACAGTCTGTTTAAAATTAAATTAACTTCGCATACATTTTGTGTGTGTTATAAATATGTTATGAAAACATACCCTTTTTGCTGAAATTTCCATTGCAGTTATAGGTTCATGATTCTGGTTAAAAAAAACAAAACAAAAACAAACAAGATCAATAGGAGTGACAGTGGATGAGATGACATAGAGATTCATTATAGCAGTTTGACTGATGCTTTATCAGGTGTCAGTCAAATATATAGCGATTGTAAAGTAAAGATCTACTTTTACAATGCCTCGGGCTGGTGCATGGGCAGAACAGAATAGATTGCATTGTGTTAAATGCATCCTCCTTATAAAGCAAATCTGTTGCATGTGAATGCACCAGAGCGGTTTAATACTCTGCATAAATGCTGTTTATACTGGATAGATAGATAGATAAACAGACAGACAGACAGACAGATAGATAGATAGATAGATAGATACATAAATGTGTTACTTATCTAATTACTTCTTTCATAGCTAAACATATTTAAAAAGCTGTCTGAGGCAGTTGCCTGTCTGCCCTCTACATTAGGGCTCATTCCCACCATATGTGCATGAAAACTGATGGAAACTGATGTGCAGATTTCACTTACAGAGACATCAGTTTACATCAGATTTCATGCACGTTTCAATGAGTTTTATACATATTGCAGATTCCTGTGCAAAAAAAAATCTGCAACTTGATACTTGTGTTGTAGGGTGAACAAGACAGATAGAGAACAGTTGCTTTAGTCTCTGCACCATGGTGTGAACGAGACCTAAAAAAAAAAAATTTGAAAAACGTTTGTGCATCTTTTATGGAGATTTTTACCTCATTAAAATCAACATTCGGGCATTAAATTGAAAATTCCCTAATGTGGACACACCTCTGACATGTTTTTAATTCCCTTACTTTTGGTTATCTCAGTTTTTTAGAAGGTATGCCATATACAGTGGGGATCGAAAGTTTGGGCACCCCCAGCTAAAAATTTGTATTAATGTGCATAAAGAAGCCAAGGAAAGATGGAAAAATCTCCAAAAGGCATCAAATTACAGATTAGACATTCTTATAATATGTCAACAAAAGTTAGATTTTATTTCCATCATTTACACTTTCAAAATAACAGAAAACAAAAAAAAATGGCATCTGCAAAAGTTTGGGCACCCTGCAGAGTTAATATGTTGTACTGCCCCCTTTGGCAAGTATCACGGCTTGTAAACGCTTTTTGTAGCCAGCCAAGAGTCTTTCAATTCTTGTTTGAGGTATCTTTGCCCATTCTTCCTTACAAAAGTCTTCCAGTTCTTTGAGATTTCTGGGCTGTCTGTCACGCACTGCTCTTTTAAGGTCTATCCATAGATTTTCAATTACGTTGAGGTCAGGAGATTGTGAAGGCCATGGCAAAACCTTCAGTTTATGCCTCTTGAGGTAATCCCCCATGGATTTCAAGGTGTATTTAGGATCAATTTCCATTTGTAGAAGCCATCCTCTCTTTAACTTCAGCTTTTTCACAGATGGCATCAAGTTACCATCCAAAATTTGCTGAAATTTTATTGAATCCATTTTTCCTTCTACTTGTGAGATGTTCCCTGTGCCACTGGCTGAAACACAACCCCAAAGCATGATTGATCCAACCCCATGCTTAACAGTTGGACAGAGGTTCTTTTCATTAAATTCTGTGCCCCTTCTTCTCCAAACGTACCTTTGCTCATTCCGGCCAAAAAGTTCAATTTTAACCTCATCGGTCCACAGAACTTGTTTCCAAAATGCATCAGGCTTGTCTATATGTTCATTTGCAAAGTTCAAACAATGATTTTTGTGGTGAGGACGTAGAAGAGGTTTTCTTCTGATGACTCTTCCATGAAGACCATATTTGTACAAGTATCTCTTTATAGTGGAATAGTGTACCACAACTCCAGTGTGTGCCAGATCTTTCTGGAGGGATCGTGCAGTCAAACGTGGGTTTTGAATTGTTTTTCTCACAATCCTGCGAGCTGTTCTGTCTGATATTTTTCTTAGTCTTCCAGATCTTGCTTTAACTTCCACTGTTCCTGCTGACTGCCATTTCTTAATTACATTCCGAACAGAGGATATTGACATCTGAAAACGCTTTGCTATCTTCTTATAGCCTTCTCTTTGTGAGCGTCAACTATTTTCAGTTTCAGTTTTCTAGACAACTGCTTAGAAGAACCCATGATGCTGATTGTTGGGGCAAGTTCAGATGAGTCTGGGCATTTAAAACCTTTGAGATTGACATCACCTGGTCTTCCCAGACGATGATTGAGAACAATGATGGAAATAAAATCTAACTTTTTGTTGACATATTATAAGAATGTCTAATCTGTAATTTGATGCATTTTGGAGATTTTTCCATCTTTCCTTGGCTTCTTTATGCACATTAATACAAATTTTTAGCTGGGGTGCCCAAACTTTCGATCCCCACTGTACTTTATAATCATGTCAGTTTTTAGAAAGTATGTAATTAGTAATATCCATAGGATAGTAAAAACAAATTTTTTATAAACATTTTGAGACTGTATGTTTCAAAACTGTGAAGAAAGTTAGTGTATGTAAGGCCAAAACTTCTTTTTTGGAGGGAATTTGGAATCTCTGTCAGCATGTTATTGTTGTCTGTTTCCCCCTTAGGAAAACTGTCTCTCTGTATTTGTTCTGGTGGCAATTGTCACTGGAAAAGAAAGTAAGGGAAAATACAAAATTTTAAGCTGTTACCAGAATAAATGAAGGGGAAATCTTCCAATAGGGATTCTTGTTCCAGTGACAAGTGTCAAATCTCCCCAAAGGAGCTCAAATGACAATCAAAGATCCTGGGCAATAGTAGTGTTCTAGTATTTTTTTTTTTTATATTACAGTTTTAATATTGTTTTAATGTAACATGCTGTACTTTGAATCTTCTTTCTTTGCTTCATATATCCACTCATAGAGTGTGTTTATAAAACTTGTAGAGGAAGGATATCACTGTTAACATATCATGGACATGATCATCTGGTGAATCTGCTTTGATTGCCACCTGATTGTAGTGAAGAAGCAGGCACTTTCTTCTGTAAAATGGTATGTCAGGGAATGGTCAGACTGCCCTTTAGGGAAAAAAATAAATACGATATATATATATATATATATATATATATATATATATATCCCCCCTAAGTGGACACTCAAAAAATGGTTGTAACTGAAGTACACTGTTAGCACTTGACTTATATGTTTTCACTTTATGTGTACTGTTTTGCACATCAAGCTGCATGCAGGTATTTGGTTTACATAAGATTTTTGCACAAAACAGTGACTTTCACAAGCAAAGTAATATCAATGTTTTTAAAAAAAAAATTGCAATAGGAAATCATAAAACAGTAATTGATATGCATGTACTGGATGGAAAACCTTAGCAGGAAATCAATTGATACTCATTAATATAAACATACCTTAAATATCCGAAGTTCTTCAAGAATTACTTCTTCCAAAGTTTCTTTTTCCTGATTGTAGATGGTAATAACTTTTAACACAATTCCATTATCTAATGCATATGAAAATGAGGAAAGAGGAAAGGTGTTGTGATTAAAGTAATGTTCAATGTGTTTAACATGATTATGGCACATTGCTCTACTGCACAACTAAAATCTATTGTGATCATTAATCATTCCCAGGTATATAAGGCTTTTGATTAAAAAAAATGTTTGAATAAAGAAACTTTAAATACTGTAAATATTTAGTTTGTAATACAATTATATTTTTGTTTAAAAAATAAAAGCACTGCATTTTAATAGCAGGGGCGGACTGACAACTCACGGGGCCCCAGGCAATAGGGGATCATGGGGCCCCTGTGTCCTTGCCCAAACTCAAAAAAGCCTATGAAAAAGGTACCAGGGGCATCTTATGGGGCCCCCTCCTGACCCTGGGCCCTCAGGCAGTGCCCGAATTTCCAAATGGTCAGTACGCCCCTGTTTAATAGATATTATAAATAGTCCTAAGTGATTAATTGCTGTAACTTTAAAATCAAGGAGCATCTATATGATTTAATTTGACATCCCTGAGTGACAGTTTTGAAGCTGATAACCAGCTGTAAACTGTTAAATTTAACTTTATTACCTTTAAATTGGTTATAAACCTTTAATGAAAAATGAACAAAGCCTATCCTCCTTTAATGTGTATTAGCTTCAATACAAATCACCCAGTGCTATTTGTCTCTTCCCGTTGCTATCTCACAAGTCACTGATAATAGTCTAAGCAAACATCACAGCATCCCGAAGGCCTGCACATCTCCAGCACACAATAGCTGAATGACAGCCACAGCTGTTTAGATTATATTTCCCTATAATTCTGTGTAGAGGGGGATGTGATTATTCCCTCCACCTAGGTTTCAGGTTTCCCTGAGCTCTGTACTCTAGTTGTGCAGTGTGTGATGACAGATCCCTGCCCCCTGCCTTCTACTGCCATGAAATAGCCTTTGTTCTGTATGTTCTTGAAGGATCTAGAGAAGGCTACAGATAAAGAGGTACAACTTATGTTGTAGGATTTGTTTTACTTCTGTGTATCACTTGGGGCTAGTCACTTCAGTGGGTATGTGTAAAGGTTTACAACCACTTTAAATAAAATATTGTAAATGTTCTTGGACCAGGCAAACTTGTGTGTGGCTCATATTATTACATGTGATAAGTAACATTGCGTAGATGTACTACATGATGCAGACCTAATGTTGATTTTAAATGTGAGCACCTTGCCCATGTATGATGCAGAGGCATTGATTTGTTGTTTGGCCACTCTCTGACTTTTCTAAACATTGGTTTACTACTGTGCTAGGTATAGTCTGTGTGGTGACTATACCTTTGAAAGCAGAAAGTGTACCCCTTCTCTGAAAGACCCAGAAGAGGACACATCTCTTCTCCTAGAAAAGGAAGCGTGGGACTGATTTATTAACGGGGTAGAGGCTGTTCATCTTGCAAAGTGTTTGTTCACATTATAAAATGAATGTTAGTAATAAAAGAACCTGTGTTCACTTTGAATGTCCAATCATGTGCAATAAAAAATAAATTAGGATTTTACTAGCACATGATTAGGTATTCAAACCAAAACAGTATTGCATTGTTTACTAACAATCAAAAGCCTCTGCACCTTTAATAAATAATCCTCAATGTCCTAACTTGGTAATTAAACCAGGCACCAAAAAACCAAGCAGACTGCCATAAGCGTCTTATTATAAAGTCATGGTATTCTCTGTAAACTATGTTTTCCCTGTTATAAATGTCTAGTGTAAAAAAAAAACATAAATTACTTAATATATATAATTTCAGTTCAAAGACTACAAGGTTTTTTTTTTTTTAAACATAATGGTTTTGGTTTATTTAATGTAAACCTCAATAGTAAATGTACTTCTTATCTACAAATAAGAAAATTGTGCAGACCTTTTAAAAATATAATATAAAGTAATATATCCAATTAATATCATATATAATAAGGATTTTACCTGTTCCTAGAAACATAACATGATATTGACCATCCTCTGCCTCCACTCTGTCTACAGCAATCTGTTTTAAGTTGTATTTTCCATCAGCCTTCACAAGTATAGGCCTTTTATGGACAGGTTTAATGGTCTCATACATCAGAGGGTGACTCCTAGCAAATCGTAAAGCCTCATCTGGATAATCCTTGGTAGTACCGTAATGACCTCCATTTACCTTGCTTGCACACTGGAAATCAGACAAGGAAAATAAAATGCTAGGTTTTTTTTTAAATATAAACCATATGACAAATATGGGAAACACAACTGTGGGCCAAACATTTTATATTTGTAAAAACACACTTATTCACATGCACATATTCTTTATACATTTCTTAATAATGTATTTTAATTATTATATTAAAATAAAGTTGTTTTCCAGTAAAAAGGACATGTGCACCTTGCTTCTCATTCTCATTTTCCCTGAATAAAAAAAGTAGAAGAGACCATGGTTCTAATTATCAATATTCACCTACAGAAAAAGTCTTCAATTTTTCTATAGTGTTCAGATATAATGGAACTCCAATAAACAAATACAAACAACAACAAATTGTATTAGCATCTTTTTGTTTGTTATAGATACAGAGGAATTCACTGTAAACTCATTGAGAGGTCTGGACTCAGAAGGACATTCATTTCTTCTGCATTAACTCCTACGTTAAGATGGTAAATATCTGAATTTTGATAAAATATTAAATCTGTGCAGGGTTAAAAATAAAAGTTATGGTCGTGCAAACTGATTTTGCATTGAACTTTTAGCTCCACATGCATTTAAAAATGGTGCTGTCACAACTATGAGGAGTTAGGCATATGGGCATCTCTTTAGCTTTCTTTTCATTCCTAAAATAAAAATACAGAAAAGAAGTTTAAAGCAAGTACAATAGGAGTGTTGTACTATGTACAAAATGCTTGCAGTAGCACACTTGACTCTATATACTGTGGCAGTTCAAGGCACTCCCACAGTGTGAATCAAGGTTACAACCAGGATTCTCAGCTAAACTGGTTGAGGGGCTCCAGGTGGTCTGCTAAATGCAGAGGAAACTGGCTTTCCAGTTTACTTGTTTGTTCGTAAAGTCCGTTTCAGGACCTTGGGCCTGGAGATTTCAAAGTGATTTGAGAGGGATAAAATCTTCAATCCTGGGTCCATGTTTTCTGAACCACAGCACACTAATTGTCCAGGTGTGTGCAGGGCTTTAAGTAATAACCTGACTAGGGTTCTCGGCTCCACCCTGGCAGACAGGAGGTCGTTGCCCAGGAGTCAAGAGAGTTCCACCGAGGAGAGGTGGGAGCCAGAGCAGCAAGGGGCTGCTAGCTGTGTACAAAGAGCCGTTTATAAAAGAGTCTGCGGGAGACAACTGTGAGCCTGAAGTGGAAGGCCAGAGCGGCAGAATTGTATGTACAAGCCAGGAGGTTAAATATCTGTGTTTGGAAGAGTAAAATACTGAAAACCCCTGTAAGGGAAATCTATGGTTTTGGACTTATGGAACTTTCTTTTAAATAAAATTGGGCAAAAAACGGCTGTTAAAAAAGAAGAAAGTGAGTGACTGTGTACTTTAAAGCTGTACCCTTGATGCTAGTTCTAACAATACATATATTCTGTGCATTGTTTTCAGGTTGAAAATTCTATTTTGTGTAACAGTGTTTGTTAAAAGTCTAAAAACGAACTAGTAGGCAGAAATCCAGATTAGTTCTGCAAAAAAACTGAAGTTATCAATCAAATATAGAGTTGCAATACAACTATTAAATTAGCTTTTCTCCAATGTACCATCAGACATCCACACCACACACCTGACAGCTGACTCATAGAAAGCATTTAAAACGTATAGACTATATGTCTGTAAATCATAGGAGCCACAAGTTGAACCCCCAACAAGGATTAGTGCAATGCGTTCTGTCAATACTTGGGTAATTACATATTCATTCCCTTCAACAATCACATTAATAATTCCAAGTTTAGAACTCCATGCAACAAACACAGAAACTGTTCCATAGTGAGATTTCATGGCTTAATTAGCAGTCACATGCAATTTGATTGCTGTTTGGCATTGCATTAGTTCGATGTGTCACGCCGTTCCACACTGAATAATTTAGCTCAGCTGGAGGCACAAAGAAATAGCATAAAATGATTGCAGAAAGCTGGTAGTTATTTTTGGCAGGTAACATGTCTTTTGTGAATTTAGTTCAAAATACATTATCTAGAGTAAGCTTGAAACACTTAAAGTAGAGTTATGGCCTTCCATTTAAAATATATGATGCAGCACTTATTTATCAATTCATCTGCAAATACCTATTGAGCCTGCCAGTCAAGTTCACCTAGGGCCACTTCCTCTGATGAGGTGGCAACTGTCTGCACTGCCTTTGAATTCAAGACAGTTGTCACTCTCATGTAGGTGGTGCCTGTTGCTGTCAGTTAAGTGCTTTTAGCTTCGCTTTAATGGCAAAAAAACTGAGCCAAGCCTTGGATAAGGTACTGTGCCTTCATACATTGACCAGTTATGCCCTGGTCCTTCCTTGTGAGCATACGGGCCATGAAATGCTTCATGTAGGCTAGTCATATGGTAAACTCAAACTGCATAGCCTTTAAAAAAATTGCTGAAAAGCGAAAACTCACCGAGCCAGGCCTTGGATAAGGTACTCTGCCTTCATACATTGACCAATGATACTCTGGTCCTTCCTTGTGGGCATATGGGCCATGAAATGCTTCACGAATGCTAGCCATATGGTAAACACAAACTGCATAGCCTTTAAAAATATTGCTGAAAAAAAAAAAAACAAATGCATTAATAAATCAAGCATATTTGTACACATATAAGTTCATTGAAGAAAAAACATGGACATCAACAAGTCAAAGCTAAAAGGCATCACATGAAATTAAACCGATAGAATAACCATGAGTGGTACATCCCAATGGTGGTGATTAATGGCAATTTCCCGGATGGTCTAAAGTTGTGAAGGGTGTGTCCCAGACTCTGTCCTGGAACCAATTCTGTTTAACTTGTCAATAAATTATATAAAGGTATATGTATAGTTCAGGTATATATATAGTATATATGTATAGTAGAGGTATATGTATAGTTCACTTGCAGTGTTTGCTGATGTACACAGCTAAGCAGGGCAAGAACTTCACAACTTTCATAAAAAGAAAAAAAACGCTTGGTCTTTTTTCTGCCATCATCTTCCATGTTTCTGTGTTTCAACAGCATATAACAACTTTGCATGAACACCTAGTTAAAATAGCTGGGTGGACAGCTACAGTATGTCTCAGAAAAGATTTAATATTAAAAAAATGTAAAGTAATGAACCTGGGAGTTAAAAATGCATATGCAAGTTATGCATTAGGGGGAGAACACCTTGGGGAATCAAGGATGGAAAAGGATCTGGGGGTCCTAGTAGATGACAGACTCAACAATAGCATGCAATGGCAAGCTGCAGTAATCAAGGCTAGCAGGCTATTAACAAGCAATCAGAAGGGTATTTACTCTAGTGGTAAAATTATAATTCTACTACTTTTCTAAACTGGTTCAGCCACATCTAAATGATGTGCTCCAGTTTTGGTCACCAATCTTGAGGAAAGATGTACTTGAACTGGAAAGAGTCCTAAGAAGGGCCACAAAGCTAATGAGAGAGATGGAGATCTCGGTTATGAGGACCAACTACAAACACTAAACTTATTCTCCCTGGAAAACAGGCTTTAAGAGAGGATATGATGGAAATATACAAATCTTTGTATGGTGACTCTAGCATTAGGAGGAACCTATTTAATATTGGGTCTTTAAAGAAGACACTTGGCTATACAATGTAGATTGACAAAGAATGGTTAAACCGTAAACAGTTTGTGGTGTCATTAAGGAGTTTGGATAAACACAAAACACTTTTAGATGTGTTTCTTAATAAACAAAGTGTACAGGGATATTGAAAATGGTAGTGAAACACACACACGCACATTCATCCAGGTTGAACTATATGGACTGCGGTCTTTATTCAACCTTACCAACTACAGTATGTAAGTATGTATGCCCACACACTTAACTGAATTTTATATAATTTATGTGATTCATTTGGATGACCTTTTGACTCCATTTCTGTGTAAATATCACATTATAGGAAGATATTCAATTGATTTATCAAAGTTTGTTGGTTGAATGCCAGATTAGAAATCACTGATAATATAAGATCACTCATCAAAATGTGAAAGATTAAAGAAGTGAAAGAAACATGTTATGCAAGATCCTTTGTATCCATCTTTCTGTGTAACTGATCATAAGAAGAAAACATTGTACCAATGCCTGCTTTGTATTCATTTAACATTTCCCCAACCCCCCCCCCCCCCCCCCCATATGACTACTTTTGCAATCATTAATCAATTAAACCAAATCAAAGAAAGAATCAGGATCATATAAAATAAGCAAAAATAATACACGGTGGATGCAAAGTAATATGGCATTGGCCTAATGGAATTGCCTCTATAGCACACTTAAATACTTGACTTCTAAACCAGGAGTAGAGAATTGGACACACGTTTGAGACTTGTGTGCATACCATTCAGCTGGTATTATCCTATTCTGTCTAGTCACTTTAAAAATACTTGCATCAACCTATAGGTGATATGGTTTACAGAGCCATGCTATAAAACTGTATAATCAAAGAATAAAATGGTGAGCGCAAGACAAAAAAGGCAAAAGTAAAGCAGCTAGCACAACGTGGCAAACCCTCTGTCTCCACCAAAACAAAACACTATAATATCAATGTGCAGCACTAATAAAAATGTGTATTATAATCAATGATGACCAGTGTGGCAGTAAAAGAGAAAGGAAACATCATAAAAAAGAAATAGAGAATAGTGAATACTTCAATGAAGGAACAAAATGGATGGTATAACAAATGTAAAATATATAAGTCCTCTAAATATGATAATAGTCCCAAAAAGTGACTTCTGTGACTTCTGCATTGCATCTCCACCATAATGCACTCACCAGAATTAAGTAGCAAGCAAGCCCAGAGCGGAATGACACTAAGGGGTGTTCTTGCTTGTTCCTCCTGCCGGTGATCTGGTTGAAGGTGGGATCTCTCCAGAAGCCAGTGACACACCAAATGAACAATCAAAAGTAGAGTAGCCAAGTCTCCATCTCCAGCCCACCGTGAACCAAGGAAAGGGATTCCTCCAAGCTCATAGATGGTTGCTATCTTTTTATTAAAACATACTACACTATATGATACTGTCTCCGGGCTCAGTCTATGAGCTTGCCCTCTAGGAGGAATCCCTTTCCTTGGTTCGCCATGGGCTGGAGATGGAGACTTGGCTGAAGGAACAAGCAGGAACACCCCTTAGTGTCATTCCGCTCTAGGCTTGCTTGCTACTTACTTCTGGTGAGTGCATTATGGTGGAGGTGCAGTGCAGAAGTCACAGAAGTCACTACACTTTGTTGATTTGATCACATCACTATTTTTGGGACTATTATGATATTTAGAGGACTTATATATTTTCATTTGTTATTTGTTATACCATCCATTTTGTTTCTTCATTGGAGTATTCACTATTCTCTATGATCATGCTATAAAACTACTTGGGCACCTATACATATTAAATACCCATACCAGAGGTTTTTTTTTCAGCCAGAATGTTGCACCACTATTTACTCTCACTTGTAACATAGAAGCCTGGGTGAGCTGCAGTCTTGTTTTCTGACTGGGCTACCAAACTATTGCCAAGCAGCTTGGTGAGAAGGTGACAACAACTGGTGCAATCATTCGCAAATGGAAGAAACAGAAAACAACTGTCAGTCTCCCTAGGTCTGGTGCACTCTCACCTCGTGGAGTGTCAATGATCATGAGAACAGTGAGGAATCATCCCAGAACTACACGTGAGGACCTTGACAATGATCTCCAGGCAGCTGGGACCACAGTCACCAAGAAAACAATTGGTAACACACTACGCCGACAAGGATTTAAATCCTGCAGTGCCCGCAAGGTCCCTCTGCTCAAGAGAGCACATGTCCAGGCCCGTCCGAAGTTTGCCACTGAACATCTGAATGATGCACAGGAGGACTGGTTGAAAGTGTTGTGGTCAGATGAGACCAAAATCGAGCTCTTTGGCATCAACTCAACTCGCCGTGTTTGGAGGAGGAGGATTGCTGCCTATGACCCCAAGAACACCATCCCAACTGTCAAACATGGTGGTGGAAACATTCTGCTTTGGGAGTGTTTTTATGCTAAGGGGACAGGGCAACTGCACCGCATCAAAGGGATGATGGACAGGGCAATGTACCGTCAAATCTTGGGTAAGAACCTTCTTTCCTCAGCCAAGGCATTGAAAATGGGTCATGGTTGGGTGTTCCAGCATGACAATGACCCAAAACACACGGCCAAGGCAAGAAAGGAGTGGCCTAGCCAGTCTCCAGACCTTAATTCGATTGAAAATCTGTGTAAGGAGCTGAAAGTTCAAGTTGCCAAACATCAGCCACCAAACCTTAATGACTTGGAGAGGATCTGCCAAGAGGAGTGGGCCAAAATCCCTCCTGAGATGTGTGCAAACCTGGTGGCCAATTACAGGAAACGTCTGACCTCTGTGATTGTCAACAAGGGATTTGCCACCAAGTACTAAGTTATGTTTTGTGAAGGGGATCAAATACTTCTTTCCCTACATTCTGAGCATATCGCACTCCTGAACCCTGCATTCTGATTACAACGCACTCTTGAACCCTGCATTCTGTGCGTAATGTACTCCCAAACCTAGCGATTTGAGCATAAGGCACTCCTTTGGATGCTAAATGTAATGTACTCCTAAACCCTGCATTCTGAGCATAACACACTCCTGAATTCTGCACTCTGTATGTTGCACACTGATAAACCCTGCATTCTGTGTGTAATGCAATGCCAAACCATGCATTCTGAGTATAATGCACTGAACCCTACACTTTGTGTGTAGTGTACTCCTGATCCCTACACTTGCACCCTCCAGGCTTTATTTATTAAAGCCCCTTTAAGACCCTTCCACTGGTGCATTTTGGCCACACTTACCCTATGACACATGTCTGGGGGGGTGTGACGGGGTGGGTGTGGAGTACCATGCACTGATTCTTTGAGAAAAAAAGCCCTGCCCATACCCATATACATCCATAATCTAATACTAGTAATTGGATTAGACACAAAGTGGCTGATTTATTAAAACTGGAGATTGCAAAATCTGGTGAAGCTGTGCATGGTAGCCAATCAGCTTCTAACTTCAGCTTGTTCAATTTAGCTTTGACAAAAAAAATGTAAGCTGATTGGTTTCTATGCAGCGCTGCACCAGATTTTGCACTCTCTAGTTTTAGTAAATCAACCTAATGGGCAGCACAGTGGCTAAATGGTTAGCACTTTGGCCTGGCAGTACTAGGGTCGCTGGTTCGAATCCCAATCCCGGCACCACCTGCCTGGAGTTTGCATGTTCTCCCTGTGACTGAGTGGGTTTCCTCCGGGTACTCCGGTTTCCTCCCACACTCCAAAGACATGCTGGTAGGTTAATTGGCTCCTGTTTAAATTGGCCCTAGTATGTACATATGTACAGGTGAAACTCTAAAAATTAGAATATCATGCAAAAGTTCATTTATTTCAGTAATGCAACTTAAAAAGGTGAAACTAATATATGAGACATACTCATTACACGCAAAGCAAGATAGCTCAAGCCATGATTTGTCATAATTGTGATGATTATGGCTTACAGCTCATGAAAACCCCAAATCCACAATCTCAGAAAATTAGAATATTGTGAAAAGGTGCAATATTCTAGGCTCAAAGTGTCCCACTCTAATCAGCTAATTAAGCCATAACACCTGCAAAGGGTTCCTGAGCCTTTAAATTGTCTCTCAGTCTGGTTCAGTAGGAATCACAATCATGGGAAAGACTGCTGACCTGACAGTTGTGCAGAAAACCATCATTGACACCCTCCATAAGGAGGGAAGCCTCAAAAGGTAATTGCAAAAGAAGTTGGATGTTCCCAAAGTGCTGTATCAAAGCACATTAATAGAAAGTTATGAGGAAGGGAAAAGTGTGGAAGAAAAAGGTGCACAAGCAGCAGGGATGAACCCAGCCTGGAGAGGATTGTCAGGAAAAGGCCATTGAAAAGTGTTGGGGACTTTCACAAGGAGTGGACTGAGGCTGGAGTCAGTGCATCAAGAGCCACCACACACAGACGGATCCTGGACATGGGCTTCAAATGTCGTATTCCTCTTGTCAAGCTGCTCCTGAACAACAAACAATGTCAGAAGCGTCTTACTTGGACTAAAGAAAAACAGACCTGGTCTGTTGCTCAGTGGTCCAAAGTCCTCTTTTCTGATGAGAGCAAGTTTTGCATCTCATTTGGAAACCAAGGACCCGGAGTATGGAGGGAGAATGGAGAGGCACACACTGCAAGATGCTTGAAGCCCAGTGTGAAATGTCCACAGTCTGTGTTGATTTGGGGAACCATGTCATCTGCTGGTGTTGGTCCACTGTGCTTCATTAAGTCCAGGGTCAACGCAACCGTCTACAAGGAGATTTTGGAGCACTTCATGCTTCCTTCCACAGATGACCTTTATGGTGATGCTGACTTCATTTTCCAGCAGGACATTGCACCTGCCCACACTGCCAAAAGCACCAAAACCTGGTTCAATGATCGTGGGATTACTGTGCTTGATTTGTCAGCAAACTCGCCTGACCTGAACCCCATAGAGAATCTATGGGGCATTGCAAAGAGATAGATGAGAGACATGAGACCGAACAATGCAGAAGAGCTGAAGGCCGCTATTGAAGCACCCTGGTCTTCCATAACACCTCAGCAGTGCCACAGGCTGATAGCTTACATGCCACGCTGCATTGAGGCAGTAATTGCTGCAAAAGGGGCCCAAACCAAGTACTGAGTACATATGCATGCTTATACTTTTCAGAGGTCCGATATTGTTCTATGTACAATCCTTGTTTTATTGATTGCATGTAATATTCTAATTTTCTGAGATTGTGGATTTGGGGTTTTCATGAGCTGTAAGCCATAATCATCCCAGTTATGACAAATCACGGCTTGAACTATCTTGCTTTGCATGTAATGAGTCTATCTCATATATTAGTTTCACCTTTTAAGTTGCATTACTGAAATAAATGAAGTTTTGCACAATATTCAAAATTTTCGAGTTTCACCTGTGTATATATATGAATGTGAGTTAGGGACTTTAGATTGTACTCCCCTTGAGGGTTAGGGACTGATGTGAATGTACAATATATGTATGTAAAGCGCTGCATAAATTGCCAGCGCTATATAAGTACCTGAAATAAATAAATAAACCTCAAAGCCTATTTACAAGCTTGTTAATATTTTACACACAATGAGTAGCATCTCATGTTGACAGCAAAAGAAGACCATGTATATGCAGAATTCAGCAGCTCATAGAATAAACATACTATTTTCCTGTTGGGGTTACTTGTGTGATGATAACACCTTTAGCAAAAGCAACATTTCACATACATACTTCTCAGTAAAGGTAAGGTTAGGGATTTCCTCCCACTTCCTGTTATCACTATGGGAAAGGAAGTGAAGGAAAATCTATGCAATGGGACTAAAACTGATAGGGGTTATAAGCCTTCCTTACTTTATCCAAAATGAAAAAAGAACGTTTTGCTTTTAGTGACACTTTAAGGTGGGATAAATTACTTGGCACCAAAATGTATGTGCCTAAACAGCTTTACCAATTGTATCATGCCAAAACATAAACTTACTAACCAAATCAAGTATGGAATAATATTAGTGATAGAGAAAGCTGTTTAGTGTATGAAAGACCTATGTTACAGTAGTTTACAAAAGTCAAACATGTGTGAACAAATGTAAATGCCTTTTCTGTTATTTATTTCTGAACAATGAATTAAATAACATTACAAGGATAGTAAGAATTTCACTGCAATCGCATCCTTGCACAGGTCATAAACTCTATTTACCTACATTTCTTAAACTGTACTATACATTTTTACTATATAATTATTACCTGGTGGTGCTAAACAGAGCAAATATCTCAGGATTTTTAGCATCTCTGGTGTGCAACAAGAACACATCCTCTGTAATCAAGAAAAGAAATGTATCCTAAGTATTTGTTAAAATGATAATATTGATCATCATTGTCTATCACATATTGTAAACAATAACATCATTCTCTACGCCTCTTAACCACTTGCCCTCCTGAGGATTTACTCCCCCTCCCCCTTCCTGACCAGACCATTTTTTGCTATTCAGCACTGTGCTATTTCAACTGGTAATTGCGCAGTCGTGCAATGCTGTACCCAAATGAAATTTATGTTCTTTTTTCACACAAATGGAGATTTCTTTTGGTGGTATTTGATCACCTCTGCAGTTTTTATTTTTTTGCGCTATAAACAAAAAAAAACAGAGAATTTTGAAAAAAAAAAAAACAATATTTTTACATTTTGGTTATAAAAAATATCCAATAAACTCAAAGTTAGTCATGAATTTAGGCTAAAATGTATTCTGCTACATGTCTGTCGTATAAAAAAATTCAATACATGTATATTGATTGGTTTGTGTGAAAGTTATTGCGTCTACAAACTATAGTATACATTTTAGAATTTACGTAGCTCTTACTTTCTGACTACCTGACTACCTATCACATTACTAGAAGTGCTAAAATGCAAGGGCAGTACAACCCCCCCCCCAATTGACCCCTTTTTGGAAAGTAGACACCCCAAGGATTTTGCAGATGGGCATGTTGAGTCCATAGAACATTTTATTTTTTTACACCATTTTTTTTAATATTGACAATGTTTTTTTTTAACACAAAGTTGTCAATTTAATGATATATTGCTTATTCATGCCATGGGTATGTGTTGAATAACACCCCAAAACACATTCTTCTACTTCTCCTGAGTATGGGGATACCACATATGAGAGACTTTTTGGCAGCCTAGCTACATACAAGCCCCCAAAATCCAATGACCACCTCCAGGCTTTCAAAGGGCATATTTCCTCATATCACTTCCCCATACCTATCATAGTTTCGGAGGCTCTAAAATGCCAGGATAGTACTAACACCCCCCAACCCCTCAAATGACCCTTTTTTGGAAAGAAGACACCCCAAGGAATTTGATAAGAGGCATGGTAAGTATTTTACAGATAACATTTTTGTCACAGGGTTTTGAAAAAAAAAAAGAAAAAAAAACAAATTTTTGGTTTTCTTCGTTTTTCAAAAACATGTGGCAACAAATGAGATCTGCAAAACACTCACCATGCCTCTAAGCAAATACCTTGGAGTGTTAACGTTCCAAAAAGGGGTCATTTGGAGGGGTTGCTGCTACTATCCTGGCATTTCAGGGCCAACATTAGAAGCTTATGCCACACATCACCCATTCTTAAAGACCAGGCCTTTTCTGACACTTTTTGTTCACATGAAAAAACAGTTTTTTTGCTAGAAAATTAGTTTGAACCCACAAACATTATATATTTTTTTTAAGCAGAAGTCCTACAGAATAAAATGGTGGGTGTTGAAATGTTATATGCTACACAGTATTTGCGCAGCGATTTTTCAAACGCAAATCTTTTGGGGAAAAATACACTTTTTAGATTTTTAATTCACAAAGACACAATATATTGCCCAATTGTTTGACAAACTATAAAAGATGATGTTACGCTGACTAAATAGATACCAAACATGACATGCTTTAAAACTGTGCATGCCCGTGCAATGGCAACAAAGTACATACATTTTTATTAATAATAGGCGATGCTTAAAAAGCCTTTACAGGTCACAAATTTATATTTACACCGGAGGTCTAGTGCTAGAAGTATTGCCCTTGATACCTCACATGCATGGTGCAACCGCTGATTACATACTGGAATAGGGTCAACGCTTGCGCATGCAGATGCGTGCTTGCAGGGGGGCAAGGGTGCTTTTTTTTTTTTGATTATTTGGATTTTTTAAATTATTTTTACACGGTCCCTTTCATTTTTTTTAATCACTTTTAGTGCTATCAGAGGGAATGCAAATATCCCCTATAACTTCAATGGGCATTGTCATAGATTCTTTTTTGAGAAATCTGGGGTCTATCAGACTCTAGATATCTCCTCTGCCCTTACATTATCTAATCTCACTAAGATCGGTGGGATCAGATGCTTTCCCAATTTACAAATGGCGCTGTTTATATCCTGCAAAACAGAAGTGATGAAATGCTTGTAGCTTCCAATTTCTTAGACTATAGAGATGATTGGAGCCATCCAGGTCTCTGACCAGCTCTATGGTCAGCCAGCGGAAGTGCCAGCTGCATTCTGGGATTCCCCTGTGGGACAGGAGAGCCCAAAAATAAACTGTAGAAGGCAGCAGGATGGGGTTGTCCCTTAATGCTTCTCGTAAAAACAATTCAGCAGGTAATTGGCCACTAGGATTGCTTTTACATGAAAGCTGACCGCCAGCTGAAAAAAGGAGGCACTAGTATAGTTCTGTATGTAATCAATATCTTGATCCGTAAAAACAGTATACTAGTAATGGTGGTGATCAGCGACCTATAGCGTGAGTGCGATAGTGTGCGGGCAAGCTAATGCTAGATGACCCTGGCTGGCTGGGGTGCCTACTGACCCTGACGCTATCTGATGTCGCTAGTGGCAGGAATACAGTGATCAGTGAAAAATTCTATATACTGATACTGTACGAATGGCACAGGTTGTGTGAAGGGGTGTGATCAAAGGGTTAATAGGGGCACTCAAAGGGTTAAATGTGCTAATCTAACATGTGTGTGTACAATGCAGTGTTTTTACTGGGTGCCGTATTCTCTCTTCTCTCCCTGGACCGACAGGTGGGGGGGCAGCGGGGGGTGCAGGTGCGTTCACAGCCCAAAATAGGAAGTGACACAAGATTACGTCACTTTGTGAAGAGCTGCTTCTTACCTGAAAAATGGGGGTAAGCAGTTGGCAAGTAGTTAAAAAAAAAACCTCTTAAAAAATTTTTAAAAAAATTCTCAGTATGGTATTTTTTTTTCAACTTTTTTATATTATTTTTTAAAATACTTTTAGCAGAATAGTACAATGTTACCATAGTAACATTGTACTACTGGGAGTGTGTGTGTGTGGGGGGGGGTGATCAGGGATTTTTTTTTCCTACACTTTGCTTTGCAGGAGAAATAAGGATAATTTCTCCTGCAATACAAAGCTTGCTGTCATGAACCTAACTCAGTCATGAATGAGTTAAGTTTTGACAGCTCAGGTTAGTGATCTGTGATTGGCTGGAGCTGGTCACATGGTACGGGGTGCTGTGATTGGCCCCATGTATCATGTGACAGCTCTGGGCCAATCACAGCTCACTAGGAAGAGGAGCAGAGCTGTTATGAATGATATTGATTCATAACAGCTTTGCTTACATTGTGATCATGTGATCACATAGTGATCACATGATCACTGGGTCCCATTCACAGGATCTTCATTCCGCTGGACACAGCAGTCGTGAGGAGGGAGCGCTGCACGCCCAATGGGTACACAGTGCCCTTGTGTGTTAGTACAGCCAGAGCGACATATGGGTTCATCGCTTTACCTGTAGCTGCCACCCTGCCACAGTACATTGCGTGCGGGCGGGAAGTGGTTAATTCAGCACTGGTTATTTGATTGGCTTGACATCATCAATATAGTGTTATGTTTTGAAAATGTTCTAATTATCCACTTGCTGACCACCAACAGTACGTTTCCTGCGGGCGGGCAGCATGTGCAGGCTGGATAGTGTACATCATCCAGCTTGCACAGGTATAGGAGTGGGTTGCACACCTGCCTGGGACACCACTGGTGTGCTTCCACAAAACACAGTGGATTTTGGCCTGTGGATCATGCAATTAGATGATCACAATGTCAACAAAGCTGTTATGAATGAATCTCATTAATAACAGCTCTGCTTCCTTTACCAGTGAGATATGATTGGCTCACAGCTATCATACGGTACCTGGGACAATCACAGCACCCTGTACCATGTGATAAGCTGTAGCCAATCACAGATCACTAGTAATCACAGCTGTTATGAATGAAATTTTATTTTTTTCTTTTAACATTAAGTAAGTGTCCCTGATCATCGCAATTCCAGTCATATGATGGCGCTGTACTGTGCAGGTGAAAAAAAATCTTAATTTCTTCATTTTCCAAAAAAAGTGACGAAAAAATTACAACTTCAAAAAACTTCTCATGCCTTTTACTAAATCAGACTCAGACTGTCTACCCTCCAAAAATGGGTTATTTGGGGGGTAGTTGTAATGTCCTGGCATTTTAAGGGCATCAAGAAATTAGATCGCCCATCAGTAAATCAGGATTAATCAATTTTCAAATACTGTACATATACCTTATTTTATGACTCTACAGTATAACTTTCACTTAAACCAATTAATATACACTTATTGAGATTTTTTTTTTACCCAAAAGTCATGTAGCAGAATACATTTTAACCTAAACTTATGAAAAAAAATTGTTTTATTTTTTATTTAATTGGATATGTTTTATACTAGAAAGTAGAAAATATAGTTTTTTATTCAAAATTATTTTATATGATACTATATTATTATTTATATAATACAAAATAAAAAAAATCCCAGCGGTAATCAAAAACCACCAAAAGAAAGCTCTATTTGTGTGAAAAAATTATATAAATGTAATTTGCGCATAGTGTTGCATGGCCGTGCAATTGCCAGTTAAAGTAATGCAGTGCTGAATAGCAAAAAATGGCCTGAATTATGAAGGAGGTAAAACCTTCCAGAGCTTAAGTGGTTATTGAAGTTCTTACACTATTCTTTAGATAAATCCAATACCCTCTCTCTTTGTTGAAAGTTGAAGTGTGCCAATTCTTACAGCATTTATGCAATCATTAATCTTTAATCAACCTTCTTTCTCTTCTTGGTAGAGTTTTTCCACCCTTGGTTCTTGCTAGGAAGGGATAGCAAAGGACAGTAATGACAACAATTAAACAAGCCAGGGTAAGAAAGGAAGCATCTAGGGCCCCATATTTGCTTATGTTGTATTGTTAATGTTTTTTCTTGCAATATATTTATATTTGTGGCTTGTATATCTAAATATTATGCTGCATGTAAGAAAGCAAGGCTAGTTAAGCTGGCATAATTCTTTATTAAAATAATATAGAATACTTCACAATGATTGATATTTATATAGTTATACTTTGAAAAGTATTGGGTCTTCATCTAAGAACCATTTTTATAGTTTGTGTAAGCAACATAGATAAGCAGTAAAAAAAAAAAGCCTTACATCTTTTTTTCTCCCCTCCATTGGGGAATGCTAGCACCCCTATCATGCTAATGCACTAGCTTTAATGCTTTGACATTGAGAAAATCTAGAGATAAGGAGTTCTGACACTTTTCTGACATTTATTTACAGCATTCCTGTTTCTAGTCTGTGACTCAAAGATACTGAAGCCAGACACAAACAGGTTACAAACATTTTCAAAAGGAGGCCATCAATGGCGTATACTTTAAATGGAAAAGCCTAAACTTCTTAAAGTTTGAGGCCCCGAGTGATTGTCTAGATTGCCCCATTGCAGTCTGTGTGTGGAAATGTCGGCAACTGTATTTAACCTGCACAGTAAATATAGCATTTACATTCATGATTGTAAAACCAATATCTAATGGTCAGATACTTGGAACAAGATCATTTCAGAAAATCACACATTTCCACTAAATGTATATCTGCAATATAATGGTATAATTCTATGGTTAATTGTTCTGAGAAGTATTGTGTACAGCACTCTAGTTATCTCATAAAACTGCTAATATATACCTGCTTGTAAAACATTGCTCCTTAAATTCTTTTTGAAGTAGATTTTCAAGCATGGATATGGCTTTGTAGCAATGATGCATAATGTATTCAAAGAAATAAAATAAAGAATATATACTGCAACAGTTATATATATTACAAATACATAAATAATTAACCTAGTTCATCAAAGTGTGTGTCAATCCCATGTGGTCCGGGCACTGAGCAAACCAGTCTTGATTTTAGAAATGTGGTCCATTTATTTACCATCATTCTCTGGCCCCCAATGTCATTCTACAACAATAAATGAAAAAATAAATAAATAAATACATTAATAAATAAATCATATAACGTACAGTAAATAAAAATCACACCAGCTGGGACTGACAGCAAACATTAAGGAGGTACCAAACATACAAAATGTCACTATCTTATGAATAAAATATATTGTAATGTTTCTTCTACAAGGTATAGTTTGCAACATATACCCATAATGATCATATCAGTGCAGACTAATTATTCACTATGAAATATTTAAAACATTTCAATGCTTTAAAGTATGCAGTCATTAAAAGGAAGAACATGGCTAAAATCCAGGCATGTCAGTATATAATGTACATATTCATGGTACATCATTTAAAAAGAAGCCTTCTCTTTATTACAATTCTGTTGTGGACAGATTATCATATGTTTTAAGATCCAAATTTGCAATTTCACAGTAAATGGATAAAATGCATACTTGAAGTATACCTATAGCTCTTCTGGTTGTACTTCTCATGCCTGTGGACCACAGGAGTGCAGTTTGTTCTGCACTCCTGTGACCTATTTTCAGCTGACAGCACTCAACTGGTCCAGGCTGCACAAAGATCCCAATCCCCTGAGAAGCTGGGCCAGCAGCTCCCTCCCACTCTACAGCCCAGTGCTCCAGTGAGCACTGGGGGGGGCAGAGCAGACAGCGGTTGTGAGAACTCAGCGATCAGCAGTCATGTGATCACTGAGTTCTCACACTTAGAGCCAGTAGGGGGCGGATGCAGCATTAGACCTAAGAAAGTATAAATGGAGGGAAAAAAACAAGTCCACACTTCTCTAAAAATTTAGGGGTCAGTCCTACAAAACTCAGACATCAGCCGTATGTATGACCAGTTCACCAACTAATGACTCTTTAATTAATTATTCTGAAAAAAAACCCTTTACACAATACATAGTTGAAATATTGCGTGTTAAATTTGTACACAGAATGCACTTACAGCACAGATTCTTCCCACCCTAGAATATATAGCTTGGGCTCCATGGTCTCCTTCCATTGCCTTTTCAGTGTAGAAGAAGTATATTTTATTGTCCTCTTTGTCCTCATTATCTGGAATCATATAGGAGCCTACAAACTTTGGTTCTAAAAAAAAAAAAGAAAATTGGAAATAGATCAATACAATTTCTGAAATACCGCACATTTGTATCTGTAAAATAGTTACTATTTGCAGGATTCCTAATTTTTGGGATATATTTATCTTTATTCCCCGTTTTCAATCTTCCTCAGTTGGATACTTCCTTCTGATGATTGCCTGGTTCAGATTTTTCAAACATTTAAAAAAACCTGTCCATAACCACCCAGATAATGGTGGAGCCTACTGAGGGGGGTAGTTCAGAGATAAAGTCCATGGAGATGCAACTTCAAGGTACATATCAAACTGGTAGGGGTAAAAGACCTGCTGGAGCAGATGTGGAAGATGTAGACTGTACACAAATGGCACAAGCCTGGACATATTCTTCAACATTCTTCCTAAGTGAGGGCCATTAGTAGTAACATTGCAGGAAGTTATGTTCCACACCAGGATGTTCCAAGAGTCATGTGCCCATTTGAGAAGCTTGGAGCAAAGGGAGGGCACCAAAAAGATCTTTCTGGGTGGGATACGTTAAGACTGAAGATGAGTGGTGGCCAGGATATGATTGGCAGAAATAATAGGTTCTGATTCAACATGACATTTAGAGTTAACAATGTCAAATGATCTGTATAAGGCATCAGCATGGGCATTTTTGGAAGTGGGCCGGAAGATAATGTCAAAGTTAAATCTGGCAAAGAAGAGAGCCCATCGTGCTTGTCTGGAATGCAAATGTCAGGCGGATTGCAGATACTGGAGGTTCTTATGATTCATATAAATCAGAATATTATGTGGAGATCCTTTCAGCATATGTCGCCATTCTTGCAGTGCCAGTTTTAAAGCCAGCAGTTCTTGATCTCATCTTTTTTAGAGAAAAAGGCACAAGGATGGAGCATACATCATGCATTTGGAGAAGCATGGCCCCCACTCCCAAAGATGAATCATCTACCTCCAAGAAGAATGGCTGGAAAATGTCTGGACATATGAGAGTAGATGCAGAGAAATGAGGATTTGAGTTTATGGAAAGCCTGGAAACCAGGTTCTGGTGTTGGCATCCTTTCGGGTCAAAGAAGTGATTGGGGCCACCAGCAAGGCATAGTCCAGAATGAACTGGTGATAGAAATTGGTGAATCCCAAAAAGCGCTGCATGGCTTTCAAACCAGAGGGCTGGGGCCAGTTGGAGATGGCTTGAAGTTTTGGCTGGATCCATAAGCACCCCTTTATCCAGGATTATCTAGCCTAGGAAAGGAACCTGGGTTTGCGGCACTTCTCCAACTTTGCAACTTTAAGAAAAGATGAGTATGTCATCCAGATAGACAATGCAACACATATACAGTATAGGTGATCAGAAAAAATGTCATTAACAAAGTTTTGGAAGTCGGCTGGAGCGTTCAACAAGCCAAAGGGCATTACAAGATATTCATAATATCCATCTTTGGTATTGAATTTGTTTTCCACTCATCACCCTCTCGGATCCTAATCTGTTGTGTGCTCCACGGAGGTCTAGCTTTGTGAAAATGTGAGCATCACGAAGCCTGTCAAAGAGTTCAGAAATTAATGGTAGCGCGTACCGATTCTTAATGGCGATGACATTGAGACCTCTCTAATCAATGCAGGGCTGGAGTATACAATCCTTTTTCTCCACAAAGAAAAAGCCAGCCCCAGCAGGAGAATTGGACTTACGGATAAATCCTTTCTGCAAATTTTATTGGACATATTCAGACATGGCTTGAGTCTCAGGGATGGAGAGAGGGTAAACTTTACCTCGAGGTGGAGTAGACCCAGGTTGGAGGTCAATATCACAATTGTAGGGACGGTGAGGAGGCAAACTGTCAGCAGCTTTTTTACAGAAGACATCCTGAAAGGCCTGATAATGTGGAGGGAGCATCAGAGCGGTAGCGACCTCGACCACAGGTACACAGAGAGGTAGGAGCACCTTGGGGAGAAAAGACCAATGACATTGCAACCGCCATGACAACATTTGTCCGGAGTTCCAGTCTAGATAGGGTGAGTGTTTCTGCAACCATAGAAGTCCAAGAATGATGGAACTAGAAGACTTAGGAAGGATCAGGAAGGAGATTTCCTCATGATGAAGAACACCAACATGCATAGTCAGACACAGGATACACAAGTAACAATGAATGGGAGCTCAGAGAACTGTGCAGTTGCTCAGGCAATGTAGGCTAGACTGAGCATATCTTATATAGGCAAGCAAACTAAGAGGTGGGCCAGGAAGTGATGGAAGGGAAGGAAATAAAACCCACAGATAAGCAGGCGAAGCCCATAAGTGAGCACAGCCAAACCACACATGTGAAAGAAATTAGGATAGGAAAAGTACTGCAGCAAAGAGGTAAGAATACACAAGAAAGAAACTTCAGCCTAACTTGTGACTTGTTTAAATGCCCCCCTCTCCCTCAAGGGATGGTGATGGTAGGAGTTTCAAGCCCCCCATTGATTTATTTCAGTGGGGGGTTCTATGATAGGTCATAAGGTGTCAGCTGATTGGGAATATTCTGGAAGTTCTGGGTGGCCCTAAAGGATAGACCATTCAAAGTCACCTGACCCCCCAGAACTTTCCAGAAATTCCCTAGCCCCTATTTAAAGAAGAGGTTGAAAGGGGTCTCTGCCAGTCGCCAAAAGGATTTTAAGGAGTGACCCACCCTTCCTTGTTGTGGCCTGTTTATATGGTGGGCCATTTTCATGTACTGGTAAATATTTGTCTAAAGCTGAAAATGAGATTGGCAGCTCGAGCCTTAATGACAGAGCTGATTTTGTTTACTGTTTTATAATTGTTACTGACTGAAAAAAGTCATGGTGAATTGTTTATTGAATATATACTTGTGAAAACCAATTAACAAGGACTCAGTCTTTATTATTCCAGTTTAGTGTATTTGTTGCTTTTTGCACATTTATGCTGCTTGCCATTCCATGAAGCTGACATGCTGACACATGGCAGTGACAGTTCTTTTAATTGGAATATAGTATATATAGTATATGAGGTAGATTGTACAAAAAGCTACTTTGTTACTAGAGCAATGAACTATTCCAATCAAACACCCATAAACATGCAGCAGAGTTTAAATTAAGAAAAAAATTACCCAAGTTTATTTACCTTTTAGGATTCTATCATCGTCATGCTCTGTTCGAATGTGTGGAAGATGTCCCGTGCTCCTAAATAAAGTGGCATCTCTTCCCCAGAAATCATTGTACAAGCCAACAAATAATTCACCACCTGTAATAAGATGTTACATTTAAATAATTTAGCTATATTTTAGCATCTTTTGCTCTTTAGTGATATTCTTTCCTTAAAACTGTAACTGAGATATTTCATTAAAAAATGTTGTCTAACTGGTGATGCACAATGTCTAAAACCTAAAAGGGTTTCACAAGTACTAGACTTGTAAATTTGCCCAACTTTGTTTAGGTTGGGACCATTTTACTTTAACCACTTGCCCTCCTGAGGATTTACCTCCCTTCCTGACCAGGCCTCTTTTTGCTATACAGCAACTGGTAATTGTGCGGTCATGCAATGCTTTATTCAAACGAAACGTATGTCCTTTTTTTCACACAAATAGAGCTTTCGTTAAGTAGTATTTGATCACCTATGCGCTTTTTATTTTTTGCGCTATAAACAAAAGGCCGACATTTTAAAAAACAACAATTTTTTTTTTACTTTCGGCTATAAAAAATATATAGTAAATATGTAGTAAACTCTTAAATTTAGGCCAAAATGTATTTTGCTACATGTCTTTGGTAAAACAATTCAAATAAGTATAATTATCACACAAAGCAATCAATATACAGTCTACAAACTATGGTATAGATACTGCAATTTTTACGCCATTTTGTGCTATACAGCGCTGCACTAGTTTAACTGACAATTTCATGGTCATGCAATACTGTACATAAATGAAATGTATGTCCTTTTTTTCACAAAATAGTGCTTTCTTTTGGTGGTATTCGATCACCCGTGCGCTTTTTATTTTTCACGCTATAAACAAAAAAAGACCGAATATTTTGAAAAAAAACTATATTTTCTCATTTCTGTCATAAAAAATATCCAAAAAACTCAAATTTCATCATAAATTTAGGTCAAAATGTATTCTGCTACATGTTTTTGGTAAAAAAAATCCAAATAAGTGTATATTGATTGCTTTGTGTGAAAGTTATAGCATCTACAATCTATGATATAGATAATGGCATTTACACAACTTTTACTTTCTGACTGCCTATCACATTTCTTAAGGTGATAAAATAACAGGACAGTACAAACACCCCCAAATGACCCCTTTTCGGAAAGTAGACACCCTAAGATATATGCTGAGAGGAATATTGAGTCCATGGAAGATTTTTTTTTTCCACAAGTCTTTAGGAAAATGACAAAAATTTTTTTTTTTTTTTTTTTTACACAAAGTTGTCATTTAAATGATATATTGCTCACACAAGCCATGGATATATGTGGAATTACACCCCAAAATACATTCTGCTACTCTACTGGGTATGAGGATACCACATGCATGAGACTTTTTGGGAGTCTAGCCACATACAGGAGCCTGAAATCCAATGACCACTTTGAAAGCCTTAAGGTGTGTAACTTCCTCATTTCACTTCCTCACTACCTAGCACAGTTTCTGAGGCCCTAAAATGCCAGGATAGCACCAAACCCCCCAAATGACCCCTTTTTGGAAAATGGACAACCCAAGGAATTTAAAGAGAGGCATGGTGAGCATTTTGCAGATCTAATTTTTTCTCACAAAGTTTTGAAATATAAAAAAAAAAAAAAGAAAAATATGTTTTTGTTTTCTTTATTCAATTTTCCAAAAATTTGTGGCAACAAATGAGATCTGAAAAATAGTCACCATGCTTCTTATCAAATTCCTTGGGGTGTCTACTGTCCAAAAGGGGTCATGGGGGGGGGGGTGCTGGGTGCTATCCTGGCATTTAGGGCCTCCAAAACTGTGATAGGTAGTCAAGTGTAATGAGGAAATAAAGCCCTTTAAAAGCCTGAAGCTGCTTATTGGATTTTGGGGTCCTGTGTTTGGCTAGGCTACCAAAACGTCTCTCATATGTGGTATCACCATACTCGGGAGAAGTAGAAGAATGTATTTTGGGGAGTAATTCCACATATACCCATGGCATGTGTGAGCAATAAATCATTTAAGTGACAATTTTGTTTAAAAAAAATTTTTTTTTTTTGTCATTTTCCAAAAACTTGTGGTAAAAAAATAAATTCTTCTATTGACTCAATATGCACCTCAGCAAATAGTTTGGGGTGTCTATTTTCCAAAAAGGGGTCTAATCACCTGAACAAAGCTTTTGCTGACACTTTTTGTTCACATGAAAAAAAATCAGTATTTTTTGCTAGGAAATTACTTTGAACCCCCAGACATTATATTTTTTTAAAGCAGACACCCTAGTGAATAAAATGGGGGGTGCTGCAATTTTTTTGTCATATAGTACTCGCGCAGTGATATTTTAAATGCAAATTAAAAAAAAAAAATACACTTTTTTTTTTTTAATGCACAAAAACAGAATATATTGGCCAATTATTTGGTAAAGTATAAAAGATGATAGTATGCCTATTAAATAGATACCAAACATGACATGATTTAAACTTTGCATGTCCCATGCAATGGCGACAAACTGCATACATTTTTAATATCTATAGGCAACACTTTAAAAGCCTTTACAAGATACCATTTTAGATTTACAGAGGAGGTCTAGCACTAGAATTACTGCCCTTGATCTGACATTTGTGGTGATACCCCATGCATGGTGCAACCGCTGTTTACATACTACTGCACAGGGTCAAAGCATGCATCCCCTATAACTTCAATGGGCATTGCCATATACTCTTTTTTGAGAAATCTGGAGTCTATCATACTCTAGATCTCTCCTCTGCCCATACTCTAATCTCACCAAGATCGGTGTGATCAGATGCTTTCCCAATTTACAAATGGCGCTGTTTATATCCTTACCGCTTCAACCCTGGCAGAACAACCACACCAAGAATCTAAAACGATGCAGTTGTGCGCTGGAGCGATTATGGCGCAAAACCAGATCCCCTCGAGCGCTCTTCCTCTACAAATCCGCCTTCCTCACCTACTCCTCCTCCCTCCACACCGCAAAACAAGCCTATCAACCCTCATCACCCAAAAAAAACCTCCCTGGACCCCCGACCAACTCTGAACAACCTTAGACCCATCTCCCTGCTTGCCATTTACTTCCAAGCTCCTTGAGCGCTTAGTCTACAATCGCCTAAGTGCCCACCTCACTGACAACAACCTCCTCGATCCACTACAGTCTGGCTTCCATCCCCTACACACCCCCAAAAACCGCCAACACTCCGCTCCTTCAGCCTTGCTACTAAGGACCTGCTAAGTTCCGCCAGAAGCTAATTGCCCCCTTGACCTCCTGTCCTCGACACAACTCCTCCGCACCCTCCTCCTCGATCACAGCTCCCTCACCCACCATCTCTCCCTCCTCCTTCCCCTAATAAAGCACACTCCCCCGGCATCAGAGACTCCGCTCTCTCCTGCCCATCTCCCCTATTACTCCAATCCTTCCTTCACAATCGCCTAAGCGCCCACCTCACTATAACCACTACACTGGCTTCCCCCCCCTCTCTCCCCCGAAACCACCCTCTCTGTTGGGGTCCCCGCCAAGGCTGGGTCCTCCTAGGCTCCTCAACCTTTCTGCGGCTTCTCACATCTACACCCCCTCCTCGGCAAAAACTGATCCCTCGGCACACTCCCTTTCTCCTGCTCTCCTCCTATCTATCCCCCGCTCTATGCAGCGTTGACCTATAAATTTACCTCCTCCACCCCTCTCCCAACTCACCCCTTCAGTCTCTTCTCCATCTACATCACCCCTCCTACTGAACGACACATCAGACTGGATGTCGCTCCATTTCCTCAAATTGAACCTTTTCAAAACTGAGCTCCTGATTTTATCCCCCACCCTGAATGACATATCAGCCCGTGCCCCCCCACCCTCTCCATCATGACCAACAATGCCACCATCAGTCCCACCCCACAAGCCAAAGTCCTAGGTGTCACTCTAGACTCAAACCTGTCCTTCCAACCCCATGTCCAATCGTTGGCAAACTCATGCAGGCTCCACGTCTGCAACATCTCCAAAATACGTTCATTCCTAACCCAGACACTACTAAACTACTTGTTCACTCCCTTATTATATCTCATCTGGACTACTGCAACTCCCTTCTCACCGGCCTACCTCATCACAGACTATCCCCGCTTCAGTCTATCCTGAACTCATCAGCGGCCAGACTCATCTACCTTATTACCAACCAATCCGCTTCTGCCACCCCCCTCTGTCATTCCCTCCACTGGCTCCCGATTGCCCAAACGCATTAAATTCAAACTACTAACACAAACATACAAAGCCATTCATAATGCTGCCCCAAACTACCTCACCGACCTGATACCCAAATACCACCCTACCCGTAATCTTCGCTCCTCACAAGACCTCCTACTTTCTAACTCCCTGGTCTCCAGCTCCCACGCCCGACTGCAGGACTTCTCCAGGACTTCCCCCATCCTCTGGAACTCACTACCCCAATCCATCAGACTGTTATCTACCCTCCTCACCTTTAGGCGCAAAAACCCATCTCTTCAGGGAAGCCTACTCCCGCCCTCACCTAACAGCCGATCTCCTCCACTCCTGCCACCACTACATCCCCCACAGCCATTTCCTTCTCTGTACCACTATCCCCTCCCTCCTAGATTGTAAGCTCGAAAGAACAGGGCCCTTGAATCCCTCGTGTTCTGTTTTGTTACTGTATTGTCTCATGTACTGTCCCCCACTATAATGTACAGCGCTGAGCAAACCTTTTAGCGCTATATAAATACTGTAATAATAATATAATAATATAATATCCTGCAAAACTGAAGTGATGAAATGCTCGTAGCTTCCGATTTCTTAGAGTATAGAGATTATTGGCACCATTCTGGTTTCTAAAACAGTAACTCAATAAAACAACTTTTTTATTGAAATATGTGCCAAAAAATTTTATAAAACATATATGATGAAGCATAGGGGCATATTATATGTTCTTTTTTTTTATGCAGCCTGTGGGCTGAATGAAAAAAATAGAAGAAATCTTTGCCAGAAAAAGTGTGTAGTATGCCCCCATTAGAATATACCTACCTGCATCCACCCACTTCCAATGGTGGGCACACATGAAATGTGCCAAAAAATATTATAAACTATACATATGGTG